AAATATTCCTGTTCTTTCTCACCTCTATGCCATTGCTCTTGCACCTTGTGAATTGTCCTTTTTGTTAATCAATTCACTTATTCAACAAATACCTGTTAAACATTGCTATATACCTAGTATCTTGGATACAATGATAATCAAACTCTTCTTTGTGTTCAAGGATTATAGCCTAGTGTGGAGGACAGACATTCATTAATGTCGTCAAGGGGCACCTGGGTGGCTCAGTCGTTAAGCGTCTGCCTTCGGCTCAGGTCATGATCCCAGGGTCCTGGGATCGAGCCCCGCATTGGGCTCCCTGCTCAGCCAGAAGCCTGCTTCTCCCTCTCCCACTCCCCCTGCTTGTGTTCCCTCTCTCGCTGTGTCTCTCTCTGTCAAATAAATAAATAAAATTTTAAAAACAAAAACAAATCATTAATGTCATCAACATATGTTTATTAGGCTTTATCATGTGGCAGACACTATTCCAGGTGCTGGGGATACAGCAGCTTATTAAACAGACAAAAATGTCTGCCATCATGGAGCTTACATTCTGGTGAGAGGAGATAGTATTTTAGGTGGTAATAATGGCTGTGGAGAAACATAAAGCAGGGGATGCAGATAGGGAATCTTTGAGGTGAGATTGCAGTTTTTAAAAGGATAAGCAGAGAGGGCTGGTGAAGGTGATATTTGAGTTAAGACCTAAAGCAGGTCCTCAGGTGAGTCAGGAAGACATCTGATAGAGTGCATTGCATGCAGATGAGTAAATGCAAAGGTCCTAGGGTGGAAGCATGCCTGGTGTGTCATAGGACCTGTACAAAGGCCAGAGGGGCTGGGGACGAAGGTGGGAGTGGTATGGAAAGGAGATCAGAGGGGTCTGTAGGGCTTTGCAGTCCACTGGAAAACCTTTAGCTGGTACTGAGGGACATGGGGAGGTAATGATATCTGGCCTAGTTGCCTAGTCTTTGGATTGAGAATAGATTGTAGGGCAATAAAGGCAGAAGAAGGAAGATAACCAAAGAAGCTACTGCAATAATCAAGAAGACAGATGATGGTGCTTGGGACCAAGGTGGGAGCAGGATTTGCTGCCAGATTGGATGCGGGGTAAAAATTGAGGCATCAGGGTGACTCTAAGGTTTCTGGCTTGAGCAAATGAAAGTATAGAGTCACCATGTTCAGAAATGGGAGGACAGCTGAAAGAAAAGGTTTGGGACGGGGTAACAATCAGGAGCTCAGTTTTAGACCGGTGAAGCTTGAGATGCTTAGTAGATGTTAAGGAGGTGAGGTCAAGCTGACATTTAGGTGTTTGAGTTTGGAGTTCAAGTTGAGAAATCTGGGGTTCATTGTATAGATGTCATTTATTCTTTTTTTTTTAATAGAAAATTTCAAACACAAAGATAGAATAGCACAGTGATCCCCTATCTACCCACCATTGAGCTTCAACACCATTGCTTTCTGCAGTTTCCAGATAGTATTTTAAGCCTTGAGACTGGATGATATCTCCATGGGAGTGAGTGTAGAGAGGTAAGCGAAGAGGGTGACCAAGTCCTGGACCATTCCAGTATTAAAGGGTTGAGAAGATGAGGAGGAACCAGCAAAGGAGACTGAGGATAAGCAAGTCAGTGAAGTAGGAGGAAAACCAGATTATGGTATCCTGGAAGCCAAGTGAAGAAACAAGTAATTCCCAAATGATGATGTAATTAATTACAGTATGATAAATGCTGAGGAAGAAAAATAAGTGTGCAATGAGAATGTGTAACATGAGAACTAACCTAGTCTGGGGATCAGGGAAGGCCTCCTGGAGGAGGTGGTATTTCAGCTCCATCCTCCCTCATCCTCTCTATCTCCAATTAAAATCCTGCTTTCTCCATCTTGCTTCCACGCTGACCACCAGCCCCTTTTTTCCTGGGGTGGCTTTAACGAGGACTATGTGTCAGCCACTAGGGGGCCGTAGGGACACCATGATGAGAAAGATAATTCCCGCCTTCAGAGAGCTTGTATTCTAGTGAGGAGACAGACAAGCAAACCAGTTTGTTTCAGTGTACTAAGTGCCGCCATCACATAATCACTGTAGGCCTTGAGGGCACATAACTCTGCCTGGTGGGGGAGTCAGAAAGGCTTCCTGGAGGAACACGTGAGTGGAGAATGGAGTGGAAATTGGACCCCCTTGTTACCTCTCCCCATACCCTTCAGCCTGGCTTGGACCTTTCCAGTGTTAACCCGTTGCCTGCGGGCTTGGCCTTCAAATCTTGTCTGAGATCCCTAGCCCAGCCTAAATCCTGACTTCAGGGCTGGACTTGGCTCTCTCTTTCTCTCCCAATATGAACTGGTCCAGCCTGGGTTCCCTGAAGCCCCCCTTCTGACCTGCTCTGCCACCCTCTGTTCTGGCACTGATCTGTCCTCCTGAGAACTTCCAGAGATTCCTGCTTCCTTCACCCCTTTGGGATTCAAAGTGGCCTAAGGAATCTCCTTAGGGAAAAGTGATACCTGAGGCAGGACAGGACAGACATTAAGAGCATGTGGGTAAATCAGTAACCAAAGCCTGCAGAATAGAAATATCTTGCAATCAAGTTAAAGCCAGGAGGGGAGGAAATGCATCTATCTTGTTCACCAGGAATTTCCAGTTACCCTAACAAAGTGCATGGCAGGAAATAAGTGTTCAGTAAATGTTGAATGAATAGTTCTTACAAGATTTCAGTTCCCTACAGCCAGCTCTAAGCTGCCCTCCTAACTCCTGCCTAATTTTCCTAGCTCCTAACCAGGTGCAAAATGCCTTCCTCAGACCTGGCATTCAAGAGGATCCTTTGCAAAGATTTTCATAGGACCTCTTGATGGCTCTTTGAGAATCAGGTGCAAGCAGTCTGTTTCGCTGCCAGGCTCTTCTTGCATAAAATTCCAAGCACAAGCAACTGTTGGTATTCTCCCCGTTGGTGCCCTCGGCTTCTGGAGCCAGCACGTTCCAAGGCCCGAGGAAGCCGCGGCGGAGGACAGCCCTGTAATCCATCTGCTCCCACACTTCTTTCCCCTCCCGCCTGCTCGCTCCCTGCCCTGTGGCAGGCGGGCCTGTGCCGGCGTCTGCGCCCCCTCCCGGGAACCCGGGGCTGCTGTCTGCACGCTGTGGACCGACTGCCCAGGAAGGGAAATCCCGGAGGAAGCCATTGTTGTTAAGTCCCCTGTTGTCGTCATCGGCTAAGGCGTGCCTAGAAGCCCCTACCCCGCACAGGGCTCCGCGGTTTCTCCCCGTTCTCGAGCTCGCCTGCCCGCGCCGCTTCGGGCGAGGCTACAGCGTCCCAGCCCTGGAGTGCGCGGGCCTCTCCGCAGCCCAGCTCCAGGGCTCTCAGAATTGGGGAAGCCCCAGGCCCGGTGCGAGCTTCGAAAACCGACGGCGCCTAGCGGGACTTGCCGGGGCCCTGACCTAGGCGGACGGGGCACGAGTTCCACCCCGCTCTACCAAGGACCTACAAGGTGACCTTGGCCGGTGGCTTCCCCTCTCGCTACCTCAGTTTGCACCCCCGCGACCCGAGGAAGGAGCTGAGGCTCCACTCCTCTAGGGGAGGTTGGAGGGAGAGAGGACCCCCACCCTCACTCCCTCGCCCCTCGCCTTGCGTGGGCTTTGGGCTGAGCCTTCTGCGGAGAGTGCCGAATAAAGGCTGGCGCTGGCCCCGGGCGCGGCGTGGGTGGAGACGCGGCGCCGGGGGCTCGCGCAGACCCTTTGGTTCTTCCGTTCCGCACCGTTCCCCAGCGCAGTACGCTCCCTTCGTGCAAGCCGCCCGCAAACCTTGGCAAGGGCCTCACTCTCCCCCGCCTGAGCAGCCAGCCCGCCGCCCAGCTTGCCTAATCCGTTCAAGCCTCACCTCCTCCGCGAAGCTCTCCCGGGTTAACCCCATCTCTTCCAACCACTCTGTCTGGCACGTGCTCCTAGTGTTTGTTTGTTCCGGGTTTTGGGGGGGGGGGAGTGTACACGCAGTCGCAATGTTTGGGATAATAACGTTGGGGCGAAGTGTCTGTCCCCGGAACCCCAAATGAAGGACCCCCAGTGTGTTCCTCAGGAAGGGTGCCCGTGGATGGGTTTCTCTCCTGGACTCACCAACCGCTCCCACCCTCCACGCTTCCCCATCCAAGCTCACTTTTCTCCCTCCTCCTCCAGACCCTCCTCCTCACAGAGTGTCACAGCTTGGAGGGCACAATGCAATCCCCACCCCCATTTCCTTCGACAGTGACGGCAGGTGTGAGGGCCAGAGAGCTTCGAGCATTTGAAGGTTTGACTCCGGGCTCAGCCACCCACTTTGCTGTAAGTCACTCCTTCCCCTGGGTTTTAATTAAAATGAGGCAAAATAAGGTAATGCCCAGCCAGGTGCTAGAGGTTCGGAGGTAAAGAATCACCTGCTGACAAGCTGCAGCCTCCCTCCAAGAACAGTGGGCTTGTGACCAGAGATGTGGCATCGCTCCTTCCTCCTCTCGTTGCCCCAGCCTGTGGCGCGCGCTGTCTTCAGTCGCCAGTGCGGTGCCCTGAACTGGAGAGGGAAAGAAGATGATGTTCCAGTCCCAGCGTTTTATTCACCGGCTGCCTGACCCTAGACGCTTCTTCCTCTGGAACTCAGTTTACTCATCCGAAAAATAGGGATAGTAATGGATTGGAGGAGAACAGGAAGCTTTTGTCACCCAAACTCTCTATAAAAATAAATGATAATGAGCGGTACAGTGCTTGGCAGCAGATTTTGCATGCAAATTCCGACCCCACATCCTCCACAGAGGGGTTTCTGGCCGGGGTCCCTGGAGTTCTCCCGGATGTGTCACTGCTCACCCCACACTCTTTCTGGTTCTCTCGAGCTAGGTAATGGACCCACACCTGTTTCTGCCTCCGTGTGGGGGGCTGGACGACACCCCCCACCCCGTGCAGGCTTGCAAAGGGAGGTGTTCCTTGGGGGAAGGTTGGTCGGGAGGTGCCGAGGCTTGAGGAGCTTGGCTTGGAACCCGCGGGCGGGACTTGGGTGGGGGCGGGGCTGTGGAGATTAGGCGTTCTCTAGAACCCTGCGGCGGCGCAGAGGGCTCCGGTCGCCCCCACCTGGCTCTGGCACTGGGAAATAGGGCTTTGGTTATGGGGGCGGGGCTCCGGGGCGGGGCTTAGGCGTGGGGGAGAGGCCCGGGCACCTGGAGGCGGGGCTTGGGGAGCTCGCCCCACACGGGGCGGGGCTCCAAAGGCCGCGGGATCTGCAGTTCGGACTCCCCGCGCCACAGTCGCTGCAGTTCGCTCGACTCTGGTGGCCCCGCGGCCCTGCGGGGAGTCCGGGGGTCGGCTGGCCGCTCGGACTTGGTGCAGGGCCGGCCCCGCCTCTCCCTTCCTCGGTGGGGCCTAGACGGTCGGGGCCGCGGTGACATGGAGCCCTCTCCTGCCACGGGGGGATCGGAGACCACTCGCCTGGTGAGCCCCCGAGACCGCGGCGGCGCCGGTGGCGGCCTGCGCTTGAAGAGGTAGGACAGACCTGGGCCGGCCCTCAGCCCGGGGGCGCCACCCTCCTGCCATCCGTCCATTTCGTTGTCTCCCCCGGCGTGGCCCCGGCTGGCCGCCCCAGCGCACCGCAACTCCCTCGGCTTCGCGGCGCCCGGCTCTGTCCTCCCCGGCCACCCCGCCAGAACCACCCCCACCCCCGACCCTCCCAGCAGTCCGCTATGCCTCCTCCCGGCCACGCTCTTTTTCTCGGTCCCGCAAAACGGCTCCCCGGCCGGTCCCCCAAGCCTCCGGACCCCTCTGCCGCCCTCGCCGCATCCGACTTCCCCGTGAGCAACTGCCCCTCCGTCGGACCGGAGTCCACGCCAGGTGCCCCGAAGTCTGCATTGCTCCAGCGCCCTGGCGTTGGGAGCATCTCGCCGCGCAGGCTTCGGAGCCCCCGCTGCAGGCCCCTGGCCCTTCCCTCTGTGCGCCCGGGCTCGGGGCGCCCCCTCCAGCCACAGCCAGCTGTGCGCACCCAGGCCGAAGATGGGCCCGGGCTCCACGGCGGTTCTTCCGGGGCCCTGGGGGACGGCGGCCGCTGGGAAGCGAGGGGGTGGCAGGGAAGGAGCAGGTGCGGTCTGGGCGGCAGGGGGTATTCCCGGCTCCGCACAGACGGGGCCGGGGGCGGCGAGGTGTGAAATGAGGCGCGCGGAGCCGCCGGGACAGCGGGCCGGGGGCGGCCGGAGAACCTCCTCCGCGTCCCGCCGGCCTCCCGCGCCCGGCGCCCGCCAGCTCTGTCCGCCTTGTCCCTCGGAGCGGCCGTGCCAGGCCCATCCTGGCCACCTCCGCTGGCCATTTTGTCTGCTGGCTAACCGTCCGTTTGTCTCGGAAATTTGACAGGCTCTCTGGCTTTTTCTCTTCGGCTTTTTCTCTTTCTTCATTTATCCCAATCGTTTTGTTTCCCTCCGAGCACCTTTCCCTTTGTCTCTGATGTGGTGCCTCTGTGTGTTTCTCGCTCTTTCTCTGGGTGGGGGCCGTAAACCTGGGTGGGTGGGGAAGTGGAACAGAAGGGAGGACAGACTTCCCGTCTGACTCCTTCCTGCAGGGGACTGCAGACGTGGGCAGCTGTGGAGGCTCCAGCCGAGGCAGGGGCTTCTCTTCACAGATCCGTTTGACTCTGCTTCAGGCCGCGGTCTCCTCCCCACAGTTCCCCTCTACCCCACTCAATATTACTTGTTGTTTGTTGGGGGTTTCAGAGGGCCAGGGAGAGAAAACTGCTTCTCCTTCTCTCTAAACAGCATGTAGCCCCCCACCCACATATACACCCACCCACACCAACAATGAGCCTTCTTTTTTTTTTTTAATGTATTTTTTAAGAAGTAGGCTCGACGCCCAACGTGGAGCTTGAACTCATGACCCTAAGATTAAGAGTCGCATGCTCTACCAACTGAGCCAGCCAGGCACCCCAACAATGAGGCTTCTTTAGTGCCCAATTCATGCAGAACAAAAGGGAGCAGCCTGTTGATGGGTGGCTACCTTGATGACTGGGTACTCTATGCCTTACAAAAAAGGCATCTTGCCCATTGCCCCAAAGCCACGCAGCCTCTGCTTGCTATCCAGACCCGCATCTCTGACTCCCAGCTCATTTTCATTCTCATATGACCATTAGTCACCAAATCCTGCAGTATTTTCTGAAAGAGGCTCTTCCCTAACCTACCTGCCCCTCCTTTAAAATTCGGTGCAGGGAATCTGTGGCCTGCTCTATTCTGGACCCTTCCATCTCCTCTCCTCTCCCTCTCCCAGACTAATATACATCAGCAAGGTCATCTCAGGGCTGGGGAAAGATATGTGAAATCAATCAGTGTATCTCCCTTGATGTTCCTTTGAGCCCTCGTTTTCCTCCTCAGCCCTTGCCCTGGCTCCTGACACTTAAAACTCCTAGCCACTTATCTTGTCATTGACATCCCATGTGTCTGGAGCCCCCTTCTTCACCTAGGTCTCATGTTAAACATCTCTTCCTCTGTGAAGTTGTCCTCACCCTCATCCCAGGTGGTTACTCCCTCCCCGGTGCTCCAAAGTCCTTCATTTATAATCCTCCTGGCCCCAGCCTCTCCTTGCCTAGTAAGTCATTTGTGACACATCTGTCTCTCCCACTAGACTGGGTTTCCATGCCTGCCACCTGAGTCCCGGGCACCCAACTATGTGTGTATCTAACTGAAGAATGAGGATGGGTTTCAAAGCCACCCTCATCTCTCTGTCTCCTCTGCAGACACACCCAGCATCTCATCATACACATTGAGATTCTAAGTCTTGGAAGAAAATTCCAAGAAATTAATCTACCTGCCAGCACTCCGATCTTCCCTACAAGCACCAAATTTGTCCCCACCTCCCTCACACCTCAATTCACCCACTTGGCAGAGCTTTTCTCAGCCAGAAGGCCCCAGGCCTCCCTCCTCACTTTACTGCTGTGACCATGTTTCTATCTGGAGCCTCTGATTCACTCATGGGTATTCTTGTCACACCTCCATGAGTATTTCTACGACTGTATTTTCTATTTAGGTCTTTTGTTCTATGGAAGGTTCTGGCCTTGCTGGGGTTCAGGTTGGGTAGTTGTGGGGGTGAGAATTGGGCCAGCATGAACCTAAAACTTAGCCTGAGTTCCATCTCTGGCATCCCAGGTGAGGCTCCAGCCCCGTTCATTTATCAAAGGAGGCTTATGGCACCACACAGTTAAGGTGGTCTCCGCTGGGTGCTTCTGATCGGGCCGGAGTCCAGCTAACATGTGGCAACCTTCACCCAGTGCTCCTACCACTGCCTCCCCAGCCACAGCAGTCTGCACTTCGTCCTCCCCATGACAACCCCAGCTCTGGGATCTGGGACCTCAGACTTTTTGGGTCCCACCGTTCCACTCCTCTCTTAAATGGCCACGTTTCAGCTGCATGTCTAGATAGGGAAGGGGAAGGATCTGGAGTGGAGGCACTGGGAGATGGATCTTGGAGGGAGGCCCTAAGGCCAGGATCATGTGCTCACCCTTTGACACCACCTTGCCTTGATATTGCCTCTGCCTGGCATGTTCACCCTGTCTTTACCCAAACCCTCCCCATCCTTCAAGGCCCTTCTCATGGCGCCCCCTTCAGTTTCCCTGACTTCACTCCAATTCATCTTCTCCAAGCCCCGAAAGCACTTTGTTTTATGGCAATAGCTACTTTCTTGCTACAGAGCATAGCACCTAGGTACACCTTTGTCTTGTCCACCGAAAGCTCCCAGAGATCAGCAAGATCCTGCTCATTTTGTGCTCCTTATGGTGCCTATCCATGCATTATGGTGGAATCTACTCTCTACCATGAACTAGCTATGTGGCCCCCCTATGTCCTCTCCCTCTCTGAGCCTCATACTTGTAATTTCTGTAAAAAGCATTAGACTAGACCATCTCTACGGTGCTTTCCAGCTGCGAAATGCTATGGCTCTGTGTATGAAAGGAAAGGGAAGCTGGGGTCTGAGCTGTCTGTTTAGCCTCCATCTCTCGCGTGGCCCTCTGTTCCCGAGGCTCCCAGGTTTGACCGGGCCTTGGGACGGGCAGAGCGAGTGCTGGCCCACGGCTGACAAAGCCCGTCTAGCAGAACGGAGGACCTGGGAGTGAGGAACAGGTCAGCCCGTGGCCCAGCCCCAGGTTGAATGGCGCTGCCTGCCCCAGTCTCTTCACAGAGCCCTCGGAGCCCCTCCCCGAGGAACCCAAACCTGTGGAGATGCCCTTCCACCATTGCCACAGGGACCCCCTGCCACAGCCGGGCCTCACCCCTGAGAGGCTGCAGGCGCAGAGACAGCTCTGTGCTGCCTGTGCCGTGTGCTGTGTTTTCATGGCTGGGGAGGTGGTCGGTAAGTCAGAGAGCGGCTCTGCCAACCCCATCCTCTTGACCCCTGCCTAAGCCACTCTCCACCCAGAGTCCCAGCAGTGTTCCCGGAGGGGGGCGGGGGCAGAGATGCTGAGAAGGGGATGCCTGCAGTGGGGACGTGGGTGCCTAGGACTCAGGAAGTGGGAGAGGGTGGGGGATAGAAGCAGGGGGAATTCAGGGCCACGTCTGGGGCTGAGGGCCGGGCCTGGCTTCTCAGCATTAGCTAGGCTTTTAGAAGTCCTATATTTCTTGACATTAAAATGTGTCATTATAGAAAATCTAGAAAATGTGGATGAGTGAAAAGAAGCCGATAAACCCCTCCTATAATCCCATCACCAGGGAAGAACGCAGTTCACATTTGGGTGCAGGTCCCCCCAGCCTCCTTCCCGGCTTCTACACACGCCACGGTGCTTGCTACTTCCCAACTGGACCCAGACCGCTCACTGCTTTATGCTTGCAGGGGGCTATTTGGCGCACAGCCTGGCCATTATGACCGATGCAGCCCACCTGCTGGCGGATGTGGGCAGCATGATAGGCAGCCTCTTCTCTCTTTGGCTCTCTACCCGTCCAGCCACCCGCACCATGACCTTTGGCTGGCACCGCTCAGGTAAGGCCTTGTGTGGCCCTGTGAGCCTCTCATCTTACCAGAAGGTACCTCCTAGGGTCCCGGGCAGGTGTCTGATAGCTTGTCTCCCCCTGCAGAGACTCTGGGGGCTTTGGCCTCTGTGGTCTCCCTCTGGATGGTCACTGGCATCCTCCTGTACCTGGCCTTCATCCGCCTGCTGCACAGCGACTACCACATCGAGGGGGGTGCCATGCTGCTGACTGCCAGCATCGCGGTCTGTGCCAACCTGCTGTACGTTCCGGTGGAGCGGGCACCATGCGGGACTCAGGGCGAGGGGGGCTTCTCCAGGGTGGGAGAGCCAGCTCTCTCCCCGCGCGACAGGCACGCACACGCACACGCAGTTCTCACCCGTCGCCTGCCCTAGGGCCGCCTGAGGACAGACGGGGGAGAGAGCCGGAATCCAGAGTCAGCAGACATTTACCGAGGGCCTCCTGTGTACCAGCCACCCTGCCGGGGGCTTTCATCAGCACTGTCTCATTTGAGGCCCCCAACCACCCCCGTGAGGTAGACAGTATCGGCCCTAGTATACAGTTAAGGACACAGGACCCGAGAGGTGGCCAGGTGACTTGCTCAGGTGTAAGTAGCAGGGTCAGGATCTGAATCCACGTCTCCAGCACCAAGTACGGTATTTAACCCCCCAGGCTGCACGATCTGTGTCCCTTGGCCAATGTCGTCTCCCTCCTGGGGCTGGGAAAGTAGGGAGAAAATAGGTGGAGAAAGGGCTCCTGGGGAGGTGAGGTGGAGAGATGTGGGAAGAGGGCAGACGAGGCTGGGAACAGGCCACCCGGGCTGAGCTGCTCTGCTTCCCCCTCAGAATGGTGTTTGTGCTGCACCAGGCCGGGCCCCCGCACAGCCATGGGTCTAGGGGGGCGGAGTATGCACCGCTGGAGGAGGGGCCGGGGGAGCCCCTGCCCCTCGGGAACACCAGCGTCCGGGCAGCCTTTGTGCATGTGCTGGGGGACCTCCTGCAGAGCCTTGGGGTACTGGCCGCCTCTGTCCTCATCTACTTCAAGGTACTGTGTACACAGGCCTGCCCCAGGCTTCCTCCCCCAGCTCCACACCCCGGCCCCCTCCTTGCACCCTCGGCCTCCCTCCCCGCCTCCAGCTCCCAGCTCCCCAGAACTCCCTGGGGCATGGTCCCATTCCCCTCAGCAGGGCTCCCAGGAGCCTCTCAGGTCCTGTTTGTCCCAGACACCCCTAGGTCTTCCTCTGGAGGGTTCCTCTTTCCTGGGCTTAGAGGTCTCTTTCTTTACAGCCTCAGTACAAGGCAGCAGACCCCATCAGCACCTTCCTCTTCTCCATCTGTGCCCTTGGATCCACGGCTCCCACCCTCCGAGATGTTCTTCGTGTCCTCATGGAAGGTAAATCAGATGCCACTTCTCCCCACCCGGGGCCCTCTCTGACCTCACTCCAGCTCGGAGCCACCTCTTTTCTCTCAAGAGAGTGTCAGGAGAAGGCCTGGGTCCTGGGGTCTATTGCTGGAAGGAGATTCAGGCACAGGGTGAATTGTGGAGGTTAATGCTGAGCAGTTACAGGATGGGGGAGGTAGAGTCTGGTGAGGGGCCGCCCTTGGGCAGGAGCGGCCTTGGCAGTAAGGCGTGGCTGGTGCTGCTTGCAGGATCCCCCCGAAGTGTGGGCTTTGAGCCCGTGCGGGACACACTGTTGTCAGTGCCAGGAGTCCGGGCAATTCATGAGCTGCACCTGTGGTCCCTTACGCTTACTTACCATGTTGTCTCCGCACACCTGGCCATTGGTGAGTCCACACTGGCCCTAGCCAGTTACCTCCTAGAAATGTTTTCCCCCCACCCCCCACCCCCGCCCCTGCCCCCCCTTCCAAACCTAGGAAGATAGACTGAATTGCTGGGATTGCAATTCCAGCTCTCTTTCTTGATCTGTCTCTGACACACATGTGCATGTTGGAGACAAGGCACCCTGGGCAGGGTGTTCTGGTGGGGGTGGGGATCGCCCTCTCTGAAGTAGTGCAGAGAACCAGCAACCCTTTAAAAGATCACTAGTACCAACAGGTCGAGCAACGGGGCACAGTTAGGTAAGTGGTGACCGTGACGTATGACGGAACTATTCAAACTGATGATGATGAACACTGTGTGGCAACTAGGAAAAATGTTTATGGTATAATGCTAAGAGAAAAAAGCTGAATGTAAAATTATATCTACATTATGATTCAACTATTAAAAATATATATGGTGACTCACAAGCTGACAAAGGATTTTTGAGTTTCTTCCAGATGCAAGAAGCAATCAGAGACATGCAATTTGGATGCCAAAAATATTATACTTTGTGGGATAGTTGATGGTAACTCTAGAGGGACAATGGGAGAAAATATTTAACATCTGGATTGTCTTGGAGAATCGGGTGCTGTGGCTGCTGAAACATACAGCTGTATATGGATAGTCAAAGAGCAGAAGAGAATAGAAAAATAAGAATAGTCTGGCGTGTTAGCGTGGTGGCGTGGTTGATTAGGGGGTGAGTCTCCAACCTTTTCTTTGGCGTTTTATGCTGTTCATACAATACAGAAAGAAAATAAAGCTCCTCACTCAAGCCTGGCTTTAATGCTGTGCAAGCCATAGGGTCCCCATGCACCGGTCCTTATCTTGGCCCCTGCCTGGTTCCCAACTCCCCTGGGAACCTGCTGCCTCTTATCACTCTCCCACAGACTCCACGGCTGACCCTGAAGCTGTCCTGGCTGAAGCCACAGCCCAGCTCCACTCCCGCTTTGGATTCTCCAGCTGCACCCTGCAGGTTGAGCAGTACCAGCCCGAGATGGCCCAGTGCCTGCGCTGCCGGGACCCCCCCCAAGCCTGAGCCGAGGCCCCACCCCCACCCGGCTCAGGCCCGGACTCTCAGTACCTGCCTCCCCGCTCTTGCAGAAGGGACAGAGCTGGGCCCGTACCCCTTCCTCTCTCCCTCCTTCCACCTGCCCACTCCCTAGCCCCCAGCCCCGGTGGGCAAGACCAAAGTGTGGGGGGTGGTGGGGGAGGCAGGGTTCAGGCTGAACGGGAATCAGTCGGTGGGGCTGTGTAGAAGCCCCTTGGTCCCCCCTCCCTGTGGTTTGGGGAGCACAAGCGTCCTTTCCATGCAGTTCATTTGTCTGTGTGGCAGGCTGGCTGTCTGGCTGGGGGCATCTGCCTATCTGTGTGCTGTTGGTGTGCCTATGCCTGGGGGAGGTCAGCAGGGGCCCCCTCCCCACATAGCCCTCGCTCTGTCTATGCAGGAGCCCCAAAGCCCGCACTTCGTGTGTTCGAGCCCTGTGGTTTTGTCTCAGTGTGTGTGTGTGTGTGTGTGTGTGTGTGTGTGTTTCTTGGTGCTGTGGCCCGTGTGTCTCTGTGCCTATGTGGCTGTGCTATGGTCTGAGTCCGCACCATCCATGTGTCCTTTTCGGGGTCTGTCTGTCCATGCCTCTGTTGGTGCTGTGCCCTCGGCTATCCCAGAGAGAGGGAGGACGACTCCGCCGCAGCTCCGCCCAATAAACTTGTGTCTAACTGCCGCTTTCAGTCCCTGTACTGACTCCTCAGGAGGGGGACAGAGTCCCGCAGCCAGAGTGACCTTCCACAGCCCTCCTACCTCCTACCCAGCCCCTCCACCTTCTCTACCCTCCAGTATCCATTCCCGTGTGGGCCAAAACCCACCAGTCCCTTTATTCCCGTCCCCTACTCCACAGCCTGGGTCTCTGGCTCAGGGAGAGCTCCCACATGCCCTGGGCTTGGTTGCAGGAGAAAGTTGGAAGGCAGGGAGCCAAGGGATCCTGGAGAGTCATTCCTAGAGACTCCTGCAGGCCATCGTGGCCTCGGGCTGGTCAGAGGGAAGCCTAGTCCCGTTGGGGGAGAGCGGTTGCACCACATGCCGTTGTGGGCCTGGTTCCCAAGCTGCGGAAGGTGTTAGGGGGAGGGTTCCAACCCTGGCTGACAGCAGCCAACCCCGAGGCCAGTTTTGGCCTGCAGACGCCAAGGACCTCTTTTACCATTATTTCCCCTTTGCCTTAAAGTATCGTGTATTTTGACAGATTTAGTCTTTATAAGCCAAACTTAAAGGATTATCGTTACTATTCAGGGATCCCTTAAACTTAAGGGATTGTGGATTTTCTCTTTTAAGAACTCAAACTCTTCGTGCTTTGATTTTAGAGCTAGTGCTTTGGATCAGCAGGAGTTCACGGGCCTTGCCACCCTAGATGGATACAATTCCAGCCTGAAGCAAAGACGCTGAGCATTTTCATTAGCCTGTGCATACTTCTGCAAGGCTTTCCTCTGCATAATGGAAATAATCTTTATCATAAAATGATATTTTAAAAAGTATTATAAATGCAATATATGCTTGCTTTAAGAGTCCAACAAAGGAAAAGTGTATAAAGTAGAGAGTAAGTGTTTCCCCTTACTACTCCCAGGGGTAACTGCTATTCACAGTTTGGAGTCTCTCTGCCCATATTTTTATGTATGTCCAAACAGTTCTATATAATAACATAGATGGGATCACTTTATAGGTAAGATCATGTAACCTGTTTGGTCTTTTTTTAAAGATTTTATTTATTTATTGGAGAGAGAGAGAGACACAGCGAGAGAGGGAACACAAGCAGGGCGAGTGGGAGAGAGAGAAGCAGGCTTCCCACTGAGCAGGGAGCCCGATGCGGGGCTCGATCCCAGGATCCCCGGGATCATGACCTGAGCCGAAGGCAGACGCTTAATGACTGAGCCACCCAGGCGCCCCATGTAACCTGTTTTTATGATTCAACCATACATCCTGGATGCATCTTCCCATGTCAATACACATAGATCTCATTGCTCTGTGTAAGGTGAGGCTTTTGGACTCACGGAAAATAGGCCTCCCTACTCTGGTCTCCAGCTGCACTCCCCTCCCCCGCAGGCTGGGTGAGTCTCGGCTGGCTGGCTGGCTGGCTGGCTGGCCTCAGTCGAGTCAGGCGTGGGAGGCTGGGCTGAGGTGAAGGGCTGACAGTCCATCACACTCAGTGTGCTGAGGCCGCCCCAGCTGCTCTCCATGCTTTGCTAGTTCCTGATACTTTCTCATTTTACGACTCATTGATTATCGGCCCCAAGTGACAGGATGGGGGTTGGGAAGAGGGAGGAAATGGAGGATGGGGAAAATGAGGATGAGATTTTTCACCCTATGACCAGCCTGAAGCTGCAGCCCACTCTTTATCACAATGCTGGGTCCCTTTGCAGGGGAGGGAACACAGTGTTCAGGGCGGAATGAGACCTCACAAAGATGCAGTCCATCTCCGCCCCACACTCTGGCAAGAGGAGGAAGCGGAAGCTAAGGCTCAGAGAAGGAAAATGACTTCCCCAAGGTCACCCAGCAGGTGACAGGGGCAAGAGCACAGCCAGGGTTGTCACTCCCACTCAGGCCCCTTGGAAGCTCGGGTCCAGTTGAATTTCTCAGGAAACCTTTGTTCAGCTTTTTCAGCAACCTGCTGCCCCTGGCACAGGAGGTCCTGGGGCTCTGGACTCAGGCTTCTGGGTTCTGCCGTGGCCTTCTATTAATACACTGGTCTCTTTAACCTCTCTGCCTTCCTGCTTTCCTAATTATAAAAAGAAGGATCACATAGTACGATGGGTTTGAATGTGTCCGGTAAATAGAGGGCATGTAGGAATAGCTTCTCTTGGGTGGAATCCAGGATGCAGGGGAGAGCTTTCAGGGGACCAGGATGATCCAGCACCCGGCAGGGACAGGGGCCCACATTTACTGAGCTTACACTGGTGCAAGGCACCCTAGACGGTTTTACCAGCACTTTACAGATGGAGAAACTAAGGCATACCTGCCCAAGGTCATGCAGCTAATAACTGTCAGGATTGAGATGCAGATTCAGTTCTGGCTGCTCTAAACCTCCACCCTTTTTACATACCCCCCCACCCCCACGCCCTTCCACCCATCTCCCAGCTTCAGGCTTTGCTCAGTCAGGGACTGGGAAGGACAGAAGGATCAGGAGCATTCTCCCTCATTCATACAGAGCTCTCCGGGGAGTTCAGGAAATCCTTATCTGCAGGAGCTGCCCGCATCCCCCCCATTATCTCCCAACCCACCTCCACTTGCTTATCCAGAAGCTCCTTTCCTCTTGCTGCCCTTCCCTGATGATAAACTATGTGGTGGAGGGTGAGGTGAGGAGAAAGGGCCAGCGGGGAGGGGATGGAAGGGAAGGCCAGAGCAAGAGCAAAGCAGGGGAAGGGCCCATCCATCAGCCCAGCCCTGGCAGCTCTTTACACAGCCGGTTAGCCAGGTGATGGGAGGGGAGAGGGCCGCCTGTGAGGCAGATAGGGACCAGAGAAAGATGGGGTGGACGGGGGGAGCGAGGGACAGGCCGGTCATGCTGAGATGCAGTTGTCGGAGGGTTCGAGAGAGACGTGAGACCGAGGAGCAGACAGAAAAGCCAGAAGAGGGGTGTTTGGCTACGGGAAGGGGGCGTGGGAACATCCGGGCAGAAGGGCAGGCCTCGCCCCCTCGCTGTGGGGCTCACCTAGGGCCAGCTAGCCGGGGCGGGGCTGACCCTCCGAGTCCGGGTCCAAGGGCGAGACCTGAAGACCCAGCGGACCAGGGTAACACCTGTCTGGGGCCAGGAGGAAGCACAGGGTGATAAATTGGTGTCCTCCTCCTTCTGGTGACCCTGCTGCCTTTTCAGGAACTTCAGTGAGCTGGGAGCCCGTCCGGGCCGCCTTTAGCCAGACCGTCCGAGGGGGAGCAGCGCCCCCCTGAGGCCCACGCCATGATAGCAGCAGAGGCGGCCCGAGGCTCCGGAGGATAGCTCCGGACCGAGGCTGGGTGGGAAGAGCCCTCGCCCTGTTCCTGGCAGATTCCCCCCACCCCTGTGTTGAACTGCATTTAGGGAGTTCCCTTTGTACTTGAAGGACTCTTTGTCCCTAACTCTCGGCGTTCCCAGGGCCTCCCCGTCCCTGGTTTGAGCCCCAGGGCCATCCCATCACCACCTGGCCAACACCTTCCAAGGGGTGATGGGCAGTGGGGCAGAGTCTGAGCCGATCATAAATGGTCCTACAAAGTGGGCCCTGTTGCTAGGACCAGCCGGAGAAAGTGGGCGGCGAGATCGCGCAGGAAGGAGGGGCCCAGGGTGGCCAGAGCCTGTGCCTCTCTCCTTCAGCCCCGCACTCCCTGCCCTCTCTCTGCCCCAGGGCCCCTCACGGCTCTCTGGCTACAGCATCCTGAAGCCCTGGGAAGCAGCCCCCTCTGGGCCTGCAGAAGCTCACCCGAGAACGGGTCTCCTCCCTGTCAGGGCTGACCCTCTGCACTAGGCACCAGCGTAGAGGCCATGGTGGCCACCCCAGGAAGGGCACATCTCATGGCCGCTCGTGGGCCATTCCCCTCCTCCCCTCCTGAGCCAGAACTTCCACTCCCTGTGGGAGACTTCCTGGTCAATTCCCAAGTGGGTGCCTCAGGACGGGAGAGAAGGCAAGTGGGGCCATCAACACCGTCTCCCACCCTAGCTTAGTACTATGCTCCTAGGGGGAGGCTGTAGGTTCCTTGAACAAGCCAGTTTCCATTCTTAAAGGGAAACAAAAGCTTCCCAGAATAGAGCAGGAAAGCACTGTGTAGGGGGCTTCCAGGTGCACCCCTTCTGAGTTTTTGTCTCCAGTTTGGTGCTGTGCCCATGGCACCTGGTCCCAGGGATTTCTGCCTGACTTTCTGACCCAAACAGTCTGAACATTCAATCCCACTCTTGTTCTCTTTGGCTCAACCAAGACAGACTATAAATTTTAAAAGGACTGGAGCCAAAAACCTAAGGAGAAACAAAATGGAACCAAACCCAGGAAAGACAAGACAGAGCTCACCAAAACAAGCAGGTTTCAGGCCCTACACTAGCAAACTTGCTTTTCCTTGGCCCAGAGATCGCCTCCCTGTTCCGCTCCATCCTGCCCACCTGCTGCACCAGAGCAGGGTTCAGTTCAGGACTCGGTCACACAGGACTTCTGGGAAGCACAGGGATGGGGTGGGATTGCTCTGCAAATCACACACCCCTGGAGGGAAGAAGGCACTGCTTTCCGCATGTTTGCCTGACACTTAGTAGACACTCAATGATAACTGTTGGTGAAGGAATGAGTGGATGAAAAGATGGTAAACGAATGGGCGTGGGGTCATATAAAGCCTATAAAGTGCCATCTTTTTTTTTTCTTTTAAGATTTTATTTATTTATCAGAGAGAGAGCACAAGTAGGGGGAGCTGCAGGCAGAGGGAGAAGCAGGCTCCCCACTGAACAGGGAGACCGATATGGGACTCAATCCTGGGACCCTGGGATCATGACCTGAGCAGAAGGCAGAAGCCCAACCAAATGAGCCACCTAGGCGTCCCAAGTGCCATCTTTTCCTTTGAGATTTTATTTTTAAGTAAACTCTACACCCAGCGTGGGGCTCGAACTTACAACTCCCAAATCAAGAGTCGCATGCTCTACAGACTGAGCCAGCCAGGCGCCCCTATAAAGTGCCATCTGAGTCCTCAGGCTCCCAACCATAGGCCAAGGAGCCAGCGCC